TAAAGCACACTTTGTCGCAAAGCTTTGGCAAAACGTGATTTTAACGTTCTTGGCTATCTGGGTATTTATTTCTCTCCAACATAAACATTTACAATATAAAAGTTATTTTAATTAACTTAAGACTAGGCACGTCACAGATACAATTTTTTAAAATTACAGTCAATCAAAAACTCAGTCTTAATCGACATTTCAATCACAAAAAATAAAATTAGCGCGCATATAAAATAAAAAATATTTTTAAATTAGAATACAAAGGAACATGTTGATATATATTACTACAGTTTACAAAGAATATTAAGTTTAAGACATTAACCGCATATTATTTCGATGTATAAACAAAAAATATGAGAAAATAAAAGATTAGAAATTATATTTAATTTAAAGTTACTCGTAATAAGTGTAACTCGGTAACTTAATACTAATCTGAGAATGAAGACTGAAAAATAACATTTTGCTAAATCTTTATGACCTAAGCTATTACAACTTTATAAAATTAGTAATGCACTGTGTGATGAAAACAATCTAACTTTGTTTCATTAAATAAAAAATTAAATGATTATTGTTTGAAAGTAAAAATATATAATTGTATAATATTACAACTTCTCTTCTCTTATCTTAATCAAAAATATTAGAAATAACTAATAAAAAAAGTTATGAAACATAAACATTTTGCCCAACTACTTTGCAGTGTTCACTTCTAATTTTCTTTTTACACACCTTTTCCCATAAGTTTCATTATCTTGTTTACGCCATGGGGCATTGGCCAACCATGTTTTCATGGTTTCTTCTGCTTCGAAAAGTGCTGTATCATCAAATTTGATCAACAATGAACCTGAAACAGATATATGGAATCACACTCAAATCAATACCCAGCTAACCATTTGCTTGCGGATTGTTAACAAACGGCAAACAATTCCCTGTGAACCGAGGCTGCCAAATTCAGGGCCTACTGTGTCCTCGAGTGCGCCCCAATTGCAACCAAAAGTTGAAATCATATCCTGATGTCAAATTGGGTACAACACCAAAGCAGATCTGTCACTAGCAGTGCGACGACAGATTGACGCAACAAATCGAGAGCAGGTTTGTCAACCGCAGACCGACAACAAATTTGCGCCAAATGCCCAGCAGATCTACGGCAATTTTCGACGACAAAAATTAGATCAGTTACAGTATTAATATATAATAATACATATTAATGTGTTAAAACATATAGGTAAATTTAAATAATTTGATTTATAAAATTAAAGATTTTTTTGGACAGGAATTGCCCGAATAAGTAAAAATCGAACAATTATTTGTTCGATTTTCCAAAAATCAGTTCAATATTTGAATTATCCTGTATAGGCATCGTGTCAAAAATTGAACTGATAGAGATAGATATATTACAATATTATTAGTCACATTTTGCAGGCTTTATATACACTCATGACAAAAACTTGAATACGAGTATAGATATGAATAACACGCCGCATAGCGGTAAACGACTGAACTATACTATTTCAAATAATAGAATTTTGTAATACTTTGTCATATTCTGCTTGGTTTTTGCTGCCAATATGCCATTAGATTGTGCACGCCAGATCTTGCTCA